CAACATACTATCCTTTGGGACGCAGTTATTTTAATCTAACATACTATTTAGTATGGATAGTATGAACATTGGTACGCAGGGAATGAAAATCATATTTTCCAATCAAGATGGTAAACCGATTATCTTTTTACCAAGTTCAAGGGGATACCCATATGTTCGGAAATGTAATTTGAAATGAAAGATTTTAATTTAAAATCGCCATTACACCACTGGTCACAAAGAAGTATGAAAGATCCACCGGTAACGCTAGAGTTGCACTTGCCTCGAATTTCAAAAGTAAATGCATAGTCAACAAAACCTTTTTGCCAAATGCATGTCAGAAAATTTTGCACTGAATTATGTTCTTAGGGTTTCCGCAGGTCCTTAAAAAGTCTTCGATTTAATTGTATCACATTTAAGGCCATATAAACTCTTAAATGGTACAAGAAAGCCTTAATTATTATTTCAAGAGGTCTTAAATTTGGGAACGGAATGACAAGAATTGCAATGTGGCGATTAAACTTCAAAACGCTATGATTTCATTAAATAAATATGAGCACTGCACGTTTCAAAGTCAGTGCACCTGCTGGCAAAGAATGAATTTGCATTTTCAATAAGCCCGTCTGCTGCTGTTCAGACCAATGTGAAAATCGACCCATATTTTTTAAAAATGCTTGGATTGAGTTGGGCAGGTCATTCTACTAGGAGGGGACATTTAATTTAAAAGTCCGTAAAAGTGATTTTGTGCTTCTTTGGGATGGCACAATAAAGCGACGTTCACTTGCAGAACGCAAGCTTCTAGAGGGCACATAAGTCTGAAGTAATGAATTTAGGTAAAGGGGTGCAGAGCCAGTGGTGGTTTTGTAGGCAAGCATCAATGCCTTGAATTTTATGCGAGCAGCTATTGGTAGCCAGTGCAAATAAACAGAGGTGTGACGTGCATTCTTTTTGGCTCATTAAAAATGAATGTATGCTGCTGTTAAACGTTTTTAAATGTTTTTATTGTATTACTGACTGTTTACTTGTATTTAATAATTGCTCTAGGTCTTTTTTTTTTAAACTTACATTAGTTAGCCTCATATTAGTTTCTGCTGTGGTATCAGGTATCTTTGCATCCTGTGATGCAAAGCTGAATTTTCAGCAGCCATTACTTTACATCGTGTCTACACCGAACCGTTGTCGCTCACATTGTGATGTGATGCATCATTATTCATTAATAGTGAATAAGTATAGACCGCTAAAGGCTGTCTACACTGGATGCAACAAAGTGACTGTTGCAAAACATTTTAACTTCGTGTCAGTACATCATAAATAGAACAAGGCATCAGTTTAATGCGAACAGTAAACCCGCTCAGTTTCCGAGCAGTTTTACTAGTGTCCAGTGTAGACACAGTGTTAGTCTTCAGTGTCACATGATCCTTCATAAATCATTCTAATATGCTGATTTCATGTCCAAGACACATTTCTTATAATTACCACTGCTGAAAATGGTTGTGCTGCATACATATTTTTGGTAACACTTTATTTTAGGGTATCTTAACTAGCTGCTTGTTAGCATGCATATTACTAGAATATTAGCCATTTATTAGTGCTAATTAAGCACATATTAATGCCTTATTCTACATTCCTAATCCTACCTAAATACCAAACTTAACAACTACCTTACCAACTATTAATAAGCAGCAAATTAGGAATTTATTGAGGAAAAAGTCATAGTTAATAGTGAATAAGTGTTTCCTATTATAAAGTGCAACCATATTTTTGAATAGATTTGTCATAAATTGATAGCATGGATGGCATGCTTTTTTAATGAATACATGATTATCCAGTCAACCTTTAAAATTCACAAACTTTGTATGTTACTGTCGTCTCCTGCAGTTTTATCCCGTGGTCTGCTACTTCTTCAGAAATGCCTTAAGTGGCAAGTTTCAATAGACTTTTGCAAGAACACTCCGTTTTGAAAGTCAGCCAACTGTGAGATTCACAGCTGCTCCGTCTTTTTAATCAAGTACCTCATTGACTTCACGCATGTTTCAATACCTTGGAAACTGCCAAACACTCCAGCTAGTAATTTTAGCCATTTTCAGGAACCTTGAGCTAGAAATTGTTGGGAACTATTCTGCATGTCCACAGAAAACTCTTTCTTTGGAAAGTCCTCCAGGACTTGAATATTTATTATGTCTAACATGTTAAATAAGCACAGATAGGTTTACTCACCCATTTGAGTTGCCTGTTTCCAGGGTAAATTGTCAAAAGTGTTACATATTTGCACAATGAATCTTTCATTAACTTACAAAAATTTAGTTTTTCCATTTTTTCCATTAACATAAAAAAAAAAAAAAAAAAAAAAAAAAAAAAAAAGTAGTAAAAGTGAAAAAAACAACAAAAAAAACAACAACAGTGGTTCTGCACTGATAAAGCTATTAAAACATACAGCTGCCTTTATATTTTAGGAAAGGGTCCCTCAAAAGGGGATTGTAGTATTTAGGGCTCTTTGGCAAACATTTCATATTAGAGTAAAGGACCAAAACCGCTGTGTTACAGCCATAATGTACATTAAGAAATGTGTAATATTTTTCTATATTATTGTTATATTCTTTATATTAAGAGTGATTGTTATTTGATATACAGTTTGCATATTTTGTGATATTTGTATTGCCTATCTGTGTGACTTTTTTGGTAAATTTTGATTTAATACACAATGCATATGCATAAGCAGCCATTGATATTTTGAACTGTACGAAGAAGGAAGGGGCTTGGTGCTAAACATTCTTTTGACCGTTCTTTGAAACCATATTTAATTTGAAGCTTGAAGAAGTGTAAACAGTTCTTAAAGGGATAGTTCACGTTCAGTTGCTGGTCCCCATTATGTACTTTCGCACCGTGTAGTTTTAGGAACTAGCCAGCAGGGTCTTTCCTAGAGAACCAATTTCTCCCTCAGGTCGTTTTCCTGGTTGCATTCGCACCGGCAGCGGGAACTCTGAAGCGGCCGACAGCGACGTCTTTATTCACGGCATTTACAAACGTCAATAACCAGTGAATGGAGGATGCCGTGATCACAGTTGTTTTTGTTGTGTCGTGAGTTCCATGACAATGGAGATGGAATGTAAACGCACAATTTACACGATTGAAAGAGCATGAAAATCTGCCTAAATCACCTATGACAACTAGCAGTGTTATCTAGGGATGCACCGAATGTTCGGCAACCGAAATTATTCGGCCGAAAATAGCAAAAAAAAAAAAAGAAGCGAAAAGACTGAAAAAATTGTACCGAACAATGACGTGGCGCGATCAAATAGCAACCAGCGCAGAGTGAGAGGCGCACATTCTTTATAATGCAGCACACATGTCAGCAGTGTGGAAGCATTTAAAACTGTCCGAGAAAGACGCAAAAATCATTACAGACATCGAGAGACCGTTTAGTACTGCAGCGCATGTCTTCGATGAAAAGTGGAAGGGGTGATTGTTGCCGGTTACTGTACGATGATTGAAATCGCGAAATGGCCTTAAACAATTAGTAAATAAACTGCAGAACGTTATGTTTTCTAATACACGCACGCATTGCATGTATTCTGACAGCGCTGCAAGAACTCACCGCGCTATCTGCTTGTTAACCAGGGTTCAAAGTCCAAAGCCCGAGGAAAATCTGCGCTGAAACCGTGTTACTCGTCAGTTGCTCAGTCACATTTTTATGAATTTTTACAAGGCATGTGACAATGTAATACATAGGACGTATTCGTAATGACTCATTTATAAATCTGCTGTCAACAAAAAGCAGCACTGAGGTCTTCCTGCACGTTTCTGCCAAAATAAAAGTTGAGAAAAAGCAAGAACTCTATCAACATTCTTAAATGTTAGTATTGCAATTTTACTGTTGTTCTGTAAAATAAAATAAAAAGACAATAATAATGATAATAATCATTACAACAGCTCTGGTAATAACATTCACACAGTGTTTTAGGACCTGTAATATTTTCTAATGTTTTAAAAGAAGTCTCTTCTCAGCAAGGCTGCTTTTAATTGTACAGTAAAAAATACATCCCTGATTCAAGAAGGGGGTCTGATGGCCAAAAAATATTATTTTAATAATTCATTAATTTTAAGTTAAATTGTGCTTTGTTGGTATAGTGTCTGCTAGAATGCTAAAAATGTTCAGTGTTAATTTTTTAATTGTTGTTTTGTAATTGATTTTCCTCTTTGAAAAGCAAGACAAAACAGTAAAAAGCACATTTTGGCTATTTAATTTTTGCAGTGATGAAAACAAATGGGCAAAAATACATGGGGGAAAAAAAACTCGAAAAACCGTGTTTCATTTTGTTCGGTTTCGGCTTCGGCCCAGAATTTTCATTTCGGTGCATCCCTAGCGTTATCATTGAGGCTGAGAAAAGAACACAACACTGCAGACAACAGGTAAATGCCGTTATCACTGTTTTCCATGTGCGTGGAGTAAATATGTTTCCATGGCATTTTTAAAAATGCCGGATAGCTGGTGTTTCCTATGTGTTTGGCCAATCAGCGTACACTTACTTCACTGGTAGTTCCTATAGAACTGTTTTAGACCCTACTCTGAAGTAGGAGCTAGATTAGTTCCCCCAAATGGAGTTCCTAGAACTAAATACGTTTCTAGTTCCTGCGGTGCGAAAGCGCCTATTGACTTGCATAGTGGGGTTTTTTTTCCATACTATGGAAGTCAATGGGGACCATTTTTGATTTTTGTTGTATCCTGACAAACAAAGTAAACTGTTACACTGCAATGATATAAAGGCACTCAGTGTAATGATAATAACAATACATTTTAAAACAAAAATAAAAAAGGTAATTGCAACTTTTGCAAAAAAAAAAACTCAGAAATGGTGAGATGAAAGTTGAAATGACATTTTTGTTCTGTGATTTGCTCTGTTCTGTGAAATGTAAACTCAGAACTGTAAGAAAAAAAATCCAGCAAAAAAAGATCCATTTCCTCATTTTTGTTTGATAAAATCATAACCAACATCCAGCAAATCTCTTTTTTTTTTTTTTACCTCTCCCTCTGTGGTGAGGGCTATGGTGTGGTGAGAGCCGCAGGCCACCTCTGTCACCCTCTTGCCGATTAGGTTGGTGGAAACCAAGGCAGGAGTAAGGCCGTGGTTAGTGGTGCCGTTACCCAGCTGACTGTAGCCATTATGACCCCAGGAATATACTTCTCCATCTACAGACACAGAAGACAAGATACAGATCGGAGGATGACAAATCTTTGGCTCAAGTTTTAATTTAGGAGACAAGCATACTGGAAAAGCAGATCTAGAATCTAATATACAAGGCCTAAATGAACAGTACCAAATGAAATTATGTATAAAATGTAACTTGAACAGTTGACATAAGTGATTTAAATCAAAGACACAGGCCTAATGCTGACCATCTTAAAACATCTGCTGTGACTCAACTTTTACCTCTGTGGAAAATGAACCATTTGATGTTTATCAGGTATGAAAACATTTTGTTCTCCAAAACTCATGTTGTGACACGTAGAATATTTTCCTATTACAAACCTCAAAATCAGACTGTTTGACTATTTTAGTTTTTGCCATCTGTCGTCAGACTACATACATTTTCAGTTAATCCTGATAAGTGCTTTAAAAAGGCCTCCTGAAGGTTTTACCACAGTAGTGGTGGACGAAAAAATCATATCACGCTCTGATAACACACAATCACAATCCATGATCTGAATTCCGATCTTCCTAATTTTGAGATGTACGATCTAGAATATCCAGACTGGAACAAGCCTATGGACTTATTTATTTGCTAAATTTAAAGCACAATATTGCATTAACACTGCGTAGTCTTCACTGTATAAATTAAATTTACACATTCTTATTAAATCTACCAAAGTTGTTTTGTTAAGAGCAGTGAGTGATTTTCTCTGTCTTTTGTTTGATTAACATTAATGACATAGACAGCAGTAAGTATAGGCTTTAAGACCAAATACATGGATCTAATATAGCCTACGCATCTGATTTCTTTCCCAACTGTTTATATTCACTTAAGACATAAATGACTGTTTATGTAAATACTCAAGGCTGACATTTTGAGGTATTTTTTTTATTTTTGTGTGTATTTGACCGTTTAAGCGTGCATCCGAAACCCAAAGCATACTTTGCTCATCCTTGTTCAGCTCTGTCTCATGAAAATGCCTGGGGAACAGTGCAAGCTCCGTTTCACAGCTTTAATGTGCTGTAATACATTAAAGGGTTAATAACATATATATATATATAATTTTTTTTTTTTTTAAACACATGCCCCGCAGTAGACTGCATTTGACATCAGTCACGTTACATAATTTGACTGATTAGGGTGCTTTCACACCTGTAGATCGATTGCTTTGTTCCGAAACAGGGATTAAAATTATTACAATGTTGTTTTTTATTCTTGGTGTGGTTCGCTTTCACACGGCAAAGTTTCTAAACGAACCAAATTTGTTAATACAAGTCACGTGCGAGTAAACTGTTCCCTCATTGGTCAAAGTTCCACGGTTTATTTTCCGGGATTCCACTTAGCTGTCACGACTGTCATCCGTCAGGATGGAACGCGGGCGTCGCGGGATTATTGTTGTTTTTTTTGGTAGCTGTCGTAGGGCTGGACGATATGGCCAAAATTTATATCACGATATATTTCTTAATTTCGGTCGATACGATATAATTCCGATATCGATATGAACACTATTAAAAAAGCCTCATAAAAACGTCCAAGAACGGCCACAACAGATGTCTGTACCTACAAACTTTAATTTGCCAACTCTATGAAACCTACTCCTATAAAACTACATAATATTTTAGGAAAAAAAATGGCGCAAATAAATAAATGTTCACCTTTTATTGGTATTTAGCCTTCATACAAACAAGAAATGTGAAATCACTGTCAAATAAATCTCAGACTCTCCTTATTAATATTATTATTTTTTACTTCAAACTATAGGGTAACATACCAGTCAAAAGTTTTTGAACAGTAAGATTTTTAATGTTTTTTAAAGAATTATCTTCTGCTCACCAAGCCTGCATTTATTTGATCCAAAATACAGCAAAAACGGTAACATTTTGAAATATTTTTACTATTTAAAA